ATATGATTCTATTTATATGAAATATTCATAATATAAATCCATAATGTCAGAAAGGAGATTTGTGGCTGGCTATCTAGGACTGAAGGGAATGGGGAAGTTTCAGGGTGATAAAGTGATAGTAAAATTTTAAAAATCAATTTGGAAAAATTTAAAAATCAATTGTACACTGTGAACATTCTAAAACCCACAGGCGTGTATAACCTTATGAATGAACTGTTAAGGTCATAAAAAAAATGAATTGACAAGCCTCAGGGTGGAACTCAGTGGTAAAGCCCTTGCATGGAGGAGGCTCTGTGTTCCATCCCCAGCACTGCAACAAAAGAAAAAAAAATACAACTCCATTTCTGTTGAAGAAATGAGAAATGCCTACTTACTACATTAATATTCTTAGGTATGCATACATTTGCTATTAAGTCAAGCAAACTTGCTCCCACCTTTTGGCTCCTCCGGGGAATCCTACACACTTACAGTATCACTCTCTGTAGTAAAGGCACCTCCTTCTACAGGAGAAAGGCTCCCTTGGGCCTGACACCTATGGCTTACACCTGTTCAAACCTAGGCCAGGCAGGAATGTCCCTAAGACTCTTATCTCCAATTAGCCACCAAAAATCAGAAGTGAAGCTGTGGTTCAAGTGGGAGTGCTAGCCTTGGACAGAAAAGCTAAGGGATAGTGCCCAGCACGAAAAATAAAAACTAAAATGAAATTCTCTCTTGGGCTTCTAACAGTTACCATGCCTTGCTCCCACTTCTTTTGGAGCAGCAGTTTGTGGCCATCCGGACAAAAAATGCTGAGATTTGGGGGTGGTATCTTTGCTGATTTCAGATGTATCTGGGTAGGAAAAGGGGGCTTACAGCTGCTAACCGCAGTGTAGACTAGTGGCAAAAAAACCAACCAACCAAACAAAAAACCTGGATCCAAAGTTCACATAAAATCTGCCCTCAAGCTGGGCGCTGGTGGCTCACGCCTTTATCCTAGCTACTCAAGAGGCTGAGATCTAAGGAAGTTGGTTCAAAGCCAGCTGGGGCAGCAAAGTCTGTGAGACTCTTATCTCCGATAAACCACTCAAAACCGGAAGTGGTGCTGTGGCTCAAGTGGTAGAGCGCTCGCCTTGAGCTGAAGAGCTGAGGGGCAGCGCCCAGGCCCAGGGTTCAAGCCCCATGACCGACAAAAAATAATAATAATCTGCCCTCAAATGTGGATCCTGCCCCTTACTTGCTGTTTGACCCTGAACAAGTGATTCAACTTTTCAGACCTTCATTTTCCTCATTTATAAAATGGGGACATTTGCAAAATGTCCTAATAGCAAGCCCATCTTTCCCTTACTGGAGCAATTCCACAAATCACACAAAAATATTGTTTATTTCAGAATAGTGTGGAACAGAGACTTTTCAAGAGCCAGTTGTTTAAATTTTTCTATCTGAATTTTAAACAGGATTATATATGCCCAAGAACATAATGCTATTTTTAGCAAATAGGTAAGATTGCTGTGTCCACAGCAATCAGGAGTGAAACTATTAAAACAGCATCTCTCACTGTGGTACCTTTGTCATTTGACACTTCAATTCATATTTTAATATTTTCCAAAGCTTCATCATAAAAACACTTGTAAAGCACCCATACTAGGCATGATACAAAGCCCACAGAAAGGCATAGTCTATGCTTCATTATATTTTAATCCACATTAAATAAGCCATGTATATAAAAGAACCTAAAGGTTTGAGCATTCCCAAGTTGCCATCTAGCCCCAAGTGTCCAGGGGAAATACGTTAGGAAGAAACTATCTCCTAAACCTACCACCTTTCCAATGTTTGCCCTCTTTTATACATGAAAAGGAGAAAGGTCATGACAATGTTCTGAATTTTCTGTGGCAATAGAGGCATGCTCTCAGTCATTGAACTGTGGACCTAAATAGGGGAATTGGATGCTATCTGACTTATATCTCATTAAAGACATTTATAAAGACATAAAAATGTTCTTAGTGTGATTGTTATAATTAGTCAAAGCTATTTTTAAGCTTTCATGCTAAAGGCTGCACTAGTTCAGCAGCAGTGCGTCTACATAGTCCCTTCCCTTCTTTATATATCTTTCTTTCCCACATTCCTTTCCTAATCTTTCTTCTTTTATTTTTCCAATGCTTTTTCTGTTTTTCTTCCACTCTGGCCTAGGTCTTAAGTCTCTCTATTACAGCTATAATGTATGCCAACTGATGTACCTCAGGATTAAATGGACTGCTGACCCTGGGCACCTTGCCTTCATGACCTTAGTGAAATCACATTCTGGCTCTCCTGTGGTTGTTCTAGTGCTCTTTTCCAGCTCTTACTGTCTATGGGGAAAATTCTAAATAATGAACACTTACTTGCCAGATAACATACAAAGTCTCTGTCATTTTTGCCAACAGACATATATTAGGATTAATCATTTTGTAAATATCCGCTCTGATGCAATCTCCCAAAGAAGTATATTTATTTACAAAATGATCAATATGGAGTCTTTATTTTAAAAAAATATACTTAAAGAACATCTTGAGTGGAGAATGCTTGGTAGTTTCTAAGCAGATTCTAAGCGTCCTCTTTCAAACGAAACAAAACAAAGCAAAGCTTTTGTATGTTGGGGTCCTGCTGGATTTAGTAAAGCAAAAGAAAAAAAAAACCACTAAGACAACAGCCTTTCTAAGATTGCCTTAGAAGCCATTCAACTAAAGCCCGAGCGAAGAAAGGCTTTGTGAAGCAAGTGTTAGAAAGACCTGACGCAAGACAGCACCTCAACCTACATTATAAACTCTAGAAATGCTCAGAGAGCAATGAAAACTGCAAGAATCTCTGGATCTGAGTCAACTTGCAATTTTTTATACAAATCAGTTGCATTCCCCCAACAAAAGTCACAGAAATATGTAGTCACCAGTTTCCAACATACCACCACCAGACCGACTCCCAGTATTGTTTCCATTTGTGTCCAAGAACACGGAATAAAACTGAAAGAAACATCAATTTCTCTTACACACACACACACGCAAAACAGTATTTCCTTTGCAGAACCTGCACTACTAAGTTGTAGGCACGAAATGGATAAAAACTAGTTAGTTGCTAATAAGAAGTCCAAAGACCTGTCCTGAGACCAAACCACACTCATATACATCATAAAGACAATAACCCTAGGGTGCATTCTTTGCCAGGAGACAGAAGGCTAAATGTGGACAGAAATGACTCCAAGGATGCATTTGCATCCCTGTTTCCCACTAGCTCAGAGCCATAGGCTCTCCTGATAAAGTTACCTCCCTGAATCCAGTCCCCATCGGAGAAACCTCATGCAAAAAAAGGTGGCAGGCCCTTTCTCCGTGGATTCGAGCTCAGGAGGAGGGGCGCAAAGGAAAAATGTGGGTGCTTGGTCACTGGGATCCCAGCCTGTCCCTTCTCCTGATCGAACTAAACACCTGCCAGTAACAGTCCCTTCCTCCAGTTCAGGAACTGGCCCTCAGGCCTAAGCGTTCAAGGAACCCAGGCGCCGCAGCCCTAGGGGACAAAGGCCAGGCTTACCAAGGGAGGGGAGGCAAAAGAAGTTGGGCAGGGAATTAAACCCTTCGGAACAAAGAGGAGGAGGACACGAGACTCTCAAGCCAACTGCGATTGTTCCCCAAGGTTGGGTGGAGAAATGCGTGGGGGGGGGGGGGGGGAATGGGAAGACTTCGAACATTCCTCTGACGAAAGGAACCAGGGCGCTGGTGGGGTGCAGCAGCTGGCAGGAAGGCGGCTGCCGGCAGGAAGGAGGCTGCTGGCACGACTGGAGCTCTGGAGCACGAAAGGGGCACAGACTGGGTGAGGGGAGGTGATGGCAAAGAAGTTGAAAGCCAGAGAGGCCCCAGTGGAAACCACCCTCCCTTCCCCCATTGCTCAGCTCAGGACCGGAGGGAACCCTCAGGAGGAACTCGGAAAGGGGGCCGGGAGTACACTGCGAAGGTACTGGTGGAGAGCGCAGAGTGGGGAACAAAGTGTTGGAAAAAAGGCTGAGAACAGAACTGTAGAGAGGCTAGGGGGGACTGTAAAGGGGCCTGACCCCCGTCCGTCCCACCTCACCTGGCGCCGGGTCGGAGTCCAGGTCTAGTGCTGAGGAAGTGCCAGCTCCAGCCAGCTCCTCCGGCCAGCGCGGGAGACCACGGACACAAAGCGGGGAGCGCGGGAGGAGTGGAGGAGGGAGAAGAGGGGGAGGGTGAGAGGAGGAGGAGGAGGAGACGCCTGAGGCCCGAGGGGGGGGAGGGGAGGGGCACCCCGCCGCCCTCCGCCTGGGTCAGAGGGCGGGGCGTACGGTTGGAGGGCTGCGTTTGACCGGCCAATAGTTATCCCGCCGGCCGGCAGGCTAGGGCGCGCCTTCCCGCAGCTCACCTCGACACCTGGGTCTTGGCTGCCCCAGCCAATCAGATGTGTTCATTTGCATGACTGGCCCCTCCTGCTCTTCCCAGCCTGGTGCTGCTTTCTCAGAGTACAAAGAAAGTCCCCCTACTTGGGGGGGGGGGGGGAGGTCCACTTTAGATCCCTTACACCAAAAAACATAGTGTCGCTTTTTCATCACGGATAAGGGTCTCTTAGTCGTTTAGATGTGTGGAAAGAAATCTTTTAGGGTGGATTTTATCCACCCTTGAAGTCCAACTAAGAGCTGTTCTCCCATTCCATACCACACAATTCCCCGATATTTGCTTCTGAGCCCTTCGCCTCCCCTCCCCTTTTCCAACCACCCTAATCTCAGTGCTTCTTCCCGTAAACTGCTGCCCACTACTGGTTTCGTGCAGCACTGCAGCCCCTAGCCGACTCTGAGCACAACTTTGATTAATGCTCCCAAACCAACCAAATCAATTAACCCTTGTCCAGAGATGGAAAAAGAGAGGTTACTGCACTAGGGTAGCAGAGACCTAGCCAAGTGGCTTTGTTACATGTGGTAGAAAGAGACAATATTTATTATGAGTTGTAATTTCCCCCACATCATTTCTTCCCACCTTCCCTTATCCTACCTTCTGGTCTGTACTGGGCCACAATGGTGACTGACTGGCCAGCTCGTTTTAGAGCAGCAGCCGCCTGCTCATGTGTTGCATTCCTCAGGTTCACTCCATTCACCTGCCCAAAGAGAGTAACTATGAGCCACCGCAAAGGCTAGAAAGAGTCCTCTGTCATAGCAGTTAGAAGACACTGATAGCCCATCTCTCAGCCTATTTAAATATGTTACCCCAAAGCCCATACTTGCTCTGCCAAAATCAGATCTGAAGGATTTGGCAAAATATCCTAGTGTAATAATTATCATCGTGGAAGTCAAATGCCAAGCGGGGTTAGGATCTAAAGGCTATTTCTTCCTCAAGGATTTCTATGAAGACAATTTAAAAGTTCTCCAGTCCTTGGCCCTCCTCTTATCTGAAGAAGCCTTCCTTGGAAGAAGCAAGGATTCCCCTCCTCCATTTTAGACTGGCACACCTCCCATCCTCCCACCTCAACTTTGTCTCACCGATAAGATCCGGTCTCCCCTGCGCAGCTCCCCACTCAGGTCGGCTGGGCCTCCTGCCAGGATGAAGGAGACAAAAATGCCTTCTCCATCCTCTCCTCCTACAATGTTGAAGCCCAGGCCTGTGGAGCCTTTGTGCAGGATGATCTTGCGGGGCTCTCTGGTGGGAAAGGATTGACAATATGAAAGCGACAAGGAAGTATTGTTACTGTGAGGGTCAGCCTGGAACAACACCCATACTCACTGTAAAAGTCAGAGTTTGGTTCCTGTGTATGATACCCTGTTCCTCCCTTCCTTTCTTGAAACCTGCTTGGTTGCTGTTTTGTATCAGGTGCCAAGTTTCGGTTCCTCTTTTCTCCTCCTTCCGAAATTCTTGGAATCAACTTCCCAATGGACAATTCATGATGCTTTTGAGTCAACAAACCCTTACACTGAACCCTAGAATCCAAATCTCAGAGTCCCCTCAATGGATCTCCTCTTCCCCAGAGTCTGCTGTCTATCAACCAGTGAGATGGGGCCTGTGAGCTAGTTATGGGCAGTGAATTGCTCTGGATTGATGGTACTCACCATCCACAAGATGTGTGTATAAATTTATCCCTGTGCCTCTACAGTCTCAAAATTTCACCCACCAACTCTGTTCCTCCTACCTTCTCCCAACAACATACAGGATTTGGTCAGCAGTTATCACTGTGTAGCAGAGTGGGAGACTAAACATGTGGTATACATGTGCTACACATGTGGGGGACTGAGATAAAGAAATCCCAGATCCCCAAAAGGTGTTTAGAGGCTAACTGAAGAGAAGAGACAAGGCCATAAAAAATCTGGCTAAAGCTAACAACTGCACTCAAGGAGCCCGTCTTTAAATGGTCAAAGTGTCATCAAGATAAGAGGAAATACCTGCCCATATACACAAACTCATTCCCAGCACAATCTACAGGCCCACCTTCACTGGTTCTAGATATTTTTCCTTAGAAGAGCCCCAAGTGCCAAGCCGACTCCTCTCTCCCTCCCAGTTTCAGGATAAAGTCTCCCTACCTGGCATCCCCTCCATGCCGAAGGGAGATGAGCGGCCAGGCCCACCTCTGCGAAGCCCTTCTCCAAGCAGAAGCCGAGGCTGAGCCCAAGCCCAGGGCCAAGCCAGAACCTGAGAACTTTTGGGTCCTCTCCATGGCTCCTCTGGTTGTCCCCCAACAGCCTACCCTTCTGGCTCCACCGCAGCCGGCCCAACAGCCTCTCAGGCCCCACCCCGCAAACCTGTCCCTGGGAATCCTGGCCGGCCCGACCAGTTCCACCGCCAGGCCTGCAGCTGCCGCCGCCGCCGCCGCCGCCACGGTAGGGCGGGGCAGGTCCCTGCGCGGCACCCCTGAGGGCCAGTCTCTCAGAGTCCCACCAATCCCATCGGCTACATGGCTTTTCAGTTATTCAGAATGGTTTGTAGCACAGGGGGCTGCAAAGTGTCTCAGGGCAGGAAAGCCTGGGGCCCTTCCACCTCTTCATACCCCCCACCCTAAACCCAACCCCACTTTTGGATCTAGGCCACTCGCTTGGCACTCCCCCTGATGGTGGAAATTGTCCTTGCAGCCATCTCTGCGTTCTGGAGCCCGAAAGGGCAGACATCCAGCCCCCAGACCTCCCAGCAGGGAGTGATGAAGGCCTAGTTTCTCTTCTTTGTCATACTTAAAGGAAGTCTGTCGCCAGCCTGAAACAGATTCTTCTCCTTCTCCCCGCCCCCGCCCTCCTGGGTGGGTCGAAAGAGCTGAGGAACTTACCTGGTGAAGTCCTCCTCCACCAGCATGTGCCTGGGGATAGGAGAGTAGCGGGTCGGGGGAACCTGAGGGGGAGCAGGGTAGCTGACCTTGCTCTCCACTGCCCCAAGATAACCCAGGCTGGAATTATGGCTTATGTGGTTGTCAGCCAAGGCAGTAAAAGCTGGGATCAAGAAAGGGAGACAAAAGTTCAGATATGTTCCAAGCAATTACCCCCTTCCATGCAAGTATTTATCCCACTCCCTTCTTTTCAATGACTTTTCAACTCACATCCCACTTCATGTGCAAAAACGACCAAGAGATGCTGATTCCTCAGGCCGCTCCTCCCCACTCCATCCACCCCCCACCCACCCACCCAAGGCTCCTCCTCCGCAGTCCCTTTTCTAAATCCTGGGATCACTCCTGTGACTCTTAGAAAGAGCTGAAGTCAAGGCAGTCTACAAAGAAAGGCATGACTAGAGGTGTGACTAATAATAATCCCTCACATCTCTGTAGCCTAATACAGTTTTCTAAGAGCTTTCTCATCCATGATCTCATTTGATCCTATGAGGAAGGCAGCACATATATCATTAGGTCCTCTGGGCCAAAGAGGAAACCAAACAGGTTAAAAGGACTTGTCCAAGGACATCGAGCTCCAAGGGACAGCTGAGACCTGACAGTTGAGACTCAGTTATGAACACTATTCTTTGCACTTGCTCTCTTAATGAGGGACATAGATAGTTTCCCCTTCCAAACCCAGGAAACAGAGCTTTGGGTGAGGGGCAAGGGCTGATAGGTACGTACTGCTGGCGTAGTCAGGAGGAGCATACATGTCGTTGAGGTGGAGGCTGCCTGGCTTGGCCACCTTCAGATAGACCATATCGGATGTGTTCTTCAGAGAGGCCACAGCTTCCTCATGTCTCACATCCTGAAGATTGGTGTTGTTCACCTAAAAGAAGAAGAGGCTTTGTGTAGGATTTGGGAGAAAGGAAGACTCCCGGGAAGCCTGAAGAATGATGCCCTTTCTGTGAAATTCCACAGTGTTCTAATAAAGGTCCAAATATAGTATCATAAAGACACAAGACAGGCAGGAGGTTGGGGTAAGGGCAGGTGAGGGTATCCCTACCTTGGAAAGAACTTGGGCCATGGTATCTGGGCAAATACAGGTCATGATATTCTTGAAACTCCCTAATTACCTACTCCCTCAGTGAGGTTTAGGTGGAATGAGGGTACCAGAACTCCCCCACCCTATCCCCCACACAACTACCATTTGGGCATCCCTGTGAAGGCTGTCTCACCGCCAGCAGCCGGTCCCCAATCTGTAGGCGTCCATCTTTCTGAGCAGCTCCCCCCTCAATGATCTTGGTGATGTAGATGCTGTTGTCTCCTGGGATGTGCTGGTTGCCAATGCCCCCAGCAATGCTGAAACCCAGGCCTAAATGACACCAGCAGAAAGTGGGAGAGGGACACAAGGGGAGGTTAGTGTTCAATTCATTCCAAAGCCAACTCCCCTCCTCCAGATGTCACACTTCTTCCCTCCCTACTACCAACCTCCCTCCTCCCCTGGAATCCCAGCACTAGGTTGGCTAATAAGGGTGTAGACCTGAAGCCAAGAAAGACAGCTGTGAGCTGTAACTGGAGGGTGAGGGGGGTGGTCATGCTAAGAGTAAGGCAGATCCCTTCCATTCTTCATGGGGGCCAGTCAGAACCTGCGGTTGTGGGGGGGGGGGAGAGGGGTAGTCTGTGGCTAGAGGAACCTGGAGGGCCGCACCTTTGGGCCCTTTGAGCAGATTGACCTCCATGATGGTCTCAGGTGGGGGCTGTCGCCTCCGAACCACCAACCGCACCACCGGGCCCTGCCTCCTTCAGCGCCTCCACAGCCCGGCTGTGTACCACCTCCGACACGTCCACCTCATTCACCCGCAGCACACAGTCATTCACCCTGTGGGGGAAGCCCAAGAGGCATGACGCTCTGCTACCACCCCCTTCCATCCTTTCTCCTACTGTCTTTCTCCCCTGTCTTCCCCTCCCTCTTTCTCCTCACCCTCTTCCTCTCAGACTAATGGAGAGGAAGGGTCATCCTGCAAGTCTGGCCTTTCTCCATTCATCTCCATCCTGCCCTTTCACCCACAGCCCTATTTCCAGATCATCTTACCCCAGCCTCCCATCCATGGCAGCTGCTCCACCAGGGATGATCTTGGTAATAAAGATGCCAGGGTCATCAGGGACATGGGGGTTGTCAATGCCACCTGCAATACTGAAGCCCAGGCCAGAGTTGCCCTGCAGAAGGTAGGTGAAAGGGCACAGTTGTTTAACTCTGAGGACAAAAGGAGGGTTCTGGTCCACCATCTCCCTCTATGTCTCAGAGCAGATTAGCCGGGTGCTGGAGCTCATTCATCAGAAACCTGGCAGTTTACCAGCCCCTGTTGACCATTCTTATCAGGAGGCCTTGAAAATCCATCCTCTCCCCAATTCCCCGGGCCTTGGCAAGCAAGGTCAATTAATATTTGTTAGCGAGTTGATTGACTGATGCAGTGTTGTGGCTTCCAAAGGCCTCTGTTGCCCTATCCTCTCAATGGAGGCTCTCACATGATGCTTGAATGTGCTGTTCAGGAGCCTCCACACTCCTGAATCCAGCCCTCCCTTCCCTCTTTTGTCCTCCCCACTCACCCGTTCGAGTACTATCTCCTCATACTTGAACATGCCATCGCTGCCATTCACCTAGGGAAAAACATAGGCACTCTCCTCAGTGCTTCCTGTCCCTCCTTCCAACCATTTGCCCTCTGGCCAGCCTGCCCCCCTTCCCCACTCCCACCAAGATTCCAAGCACACCCAGGGCACCTCTAGGCCAAAGATGGGGACAGGCTGACTCCAAGAGGTCCACTCCCCTCCCCTTGTTTCCAACCATATCAGGCCAAACCCAGCTGCTCATTTAGCCCAGATCAATTGTCTGGAACTGAGCCAGCCAGTGGTGCACTCACCGAAAGGCTGGGCTCCAGGGCCTCGGGGCTCACTAGGAGGGGTGCAGGGCTGGCCTAAGGGGATGGCAGAGATGGAGCATGGAGGGCAAACCACACCACACCCAGCATTCATAGGGGGCACCCAAAGACCTGGTCAAGGAAACCTCCCCTTCCAAACCACAGCTTTGCTTTGCCCACCATGGGAATCCTAGACTCCTACCATGTCACAGCTGGAAGGACAGCAGACACCATCTTGTCCAACCATTTTATAGGACACCTAGTGACACTGAGACCCAGTGAGTTTGGAATGTGCCTGAGTACACTGGAAATTACTGGCAGAGGGCTGTGTGTGGCCAGAATATGGCTTCTCAGATTCTTTCTGGATTAAATCAAGCTTCAAGGACACTGATGCTTTGACCACTCCTTCTTCCCTCAGCAGATCTTAAAGGAAAAGGAATACCTTAGGAGTACTTCAGAGTACCTTAGGAATCCTCATTCTATCCTGCCTTCAAGTGGCTTCAAGGACCCAACTCTTCAAATGGATAGAAGGAGTCAAAGACCTAATTCATTTTCTACCAAGGGACGTTAGATCCTGAACCTTTTGTGTGTCTAGGAGAAAGGGCCAGGGATAGGATCTGATTCGGAATCTAAAGCCAATCCAGGGGAAGGTTAGGAACAGGGTAGACACAATTCCCTATGGGGGAGAAATAAATGGCCCATGGATGCTGAATTAGCAGCAAAGCCCATGGTATTCAACCCACAGTAGCCATGGAAGGAGAGGGAGGAAAGGGGTCAGAAACCCAAGATTGGTTTGATCAAACCATAGAGGTGGCTTTCAAGGCAGGACACACTTGTGGCCTTTTTTTTTTCCAAGAGGAAATCTGATTCTGTTCAGATCTACTCCATGATTTCACAAATCTCTAAGAATGGAGGAGCTCTTGCCTCTCACCCCAGGTATCCTGGCATGGTCCCTAATCTTTTTCTGGCAGTGCTGTCCTTTTCCTGACCCCTTGGCCCAGAAGAGGAGAGCTGGAAATCCAGGATGGGAGCTGTTTCACATGTCCTACTCTCCTTCCCCCTTTCTACCCCACCCCATACACTTTTAGCTTTGAGAAGCGTAGAGAAGACATGGAGAGGGGTGGAGTCATGCTAGTCAGACCCATTTCTGGGTCTGACCTCCAGGACTTCATGCTGTATAGCCTGGGAGTCAGTGGAAAGACTCTAGCTAGCTGCAGTCTTGTCCTGGTCCCTCATCCCAGCAGGAAAAATCTATGACTGTTCAGAAACCCCCACACCAACACAGCTGCCCGAAATGCCATGCAGCAGACACCGGATAAAGGCAATCCATGCAGCTCTCTTATGCATCTGGTGTGCCATGTGTGCCCACATGTGACAAGCCATGCTTCAAGCACATTTCAAGTGGTACCCAGTGGCTCCCAGCTCTAGTGGTCCACTCTCCAATCCCTATCCCATCCCCACTCAGACATCTTGCTCAGAGGGCCAGAAGCCATCCAGGGATTATTCCTAGCAAAAAAGAAAAAAAACCTAGCCAATTGGCTCGACCCTATGATTGGCACTCATCTTCCAGCTGGGTAGGACAGGGATTAGGGGTTGCTTGCAAAGGGAGGATCGAAAGAGAGAAAGAGGGCAAATGATAGGGAAGGATTCACTGGAGAGGGCAAGGAGCCAAGGCAAGGGACAAGGAAGCGGTAAGCGAGGACAGACAGAAGGCCAGAACAGAGGATGCTCCTCCCCACGAAGTCCCCACCTTTGCTTCTGAGCAAGAATACACCCTATCCCCTGAGGAGGACAGAGGCGACCAGTATGGTCACCAGCTTGGGGCAGTCAGCACCTGCCCTCGACAGCAAAGCTTCTTCCTCCTCTCAACCCACACAGGGGGCTGCAGAGCAAAATAACCAGACAGGCCCTCCGCAATGTGAGCCAGGGACCTGGCTCTGCCGGCCCAGCCTCCATTTTGCTGCTTCTCCCACAGATGCTCCTTCCATTTTCTAAGCTGGCAGTTTAGGCTGGGAGTGGAAGCCAGAGTTGTGCCCAGCACCCAGGGGTTCCCAAGCTGTGCCAAGTCAGGTCCAGGGAGGCTAAGCTTGCTCCTATCTGGGGGTAGCTAAAGGGGACCTGCCCCACTGGGGCTAGCTCCTGCACCAGGGCAGCTGCCCCTTGGCTAGTTCCAGGCACCATGCCTGCTCTGGAGCAAGGAAGCATTCATTCCTGCCCCCCCCCCTTAACATACACACTTCAGAGCTGCTTGGACAAAAGAGTCCATCCTTCTCAGCAGCCTCTCAGCTTTCCTTGGGACGTGTCTCTAGCCTCCTCTCCCTCCCCTCCCTTGCCTGTCAATCGCCTCTCACAAGAGACAACACACACACACACACACACCACCACCACCACCACACAGAGGCACACGCATGCACACTCTTGCAGACACTTGCACACACACATACATATATATATATATATATGCATATATATATATATATATATATATATGCAGCCATATACATCCAAGCAAATCCAGCTATCCTTTCAGCCTCATCTACACGGGACACCTCCATGATTCAGAGAGACAGCCACACATGTCCATGTGCATATTCACACACAAAGGGACTGGGACTAAGAAGGGCTCATGGCATCGAGGGATGAAGCTCAGCAAGCGGGCACATGGACTCCTCTACATAGATTCACAGGAGCTCTCCTGCCTCCCTTCACACACTCTAGCACACACACACACACACACACACACACACACACACATGCCCCCCCTATGCAGAGCACCATGCCCCCTCCTCCCCTCCTGTGGAGACACACACCACACACAACCCCCGCAGAACCTCCCGCCCCCTGCCAGACATAGAGACACTGCCAACCTCCCCCTGCCCCCACCCCACTGAAAGAAACCCAATTCCCCCAAGCAAGAAAATGTGCCCCTTCGCCATACCTTCACCCCCTGAGATACATATAGCTCTTTCCAATCTCCTCTAAATAGACACACACACACACACACACACACCTAAACAGACACACAGGGAGCCACACATTTCTAGCCATGTCTCTGCCCAGCTGCAGTGCTAGAGCTTAGGGTCCACAAGCTTGGAACTCGAGCAACCCCTCTGCACCCCAGGCCTCTAGGCCCCCCACTCTCCAGCCCTCCTGGGTTGCCCTCCCACCCCCCCCCCCCACACCGTCCGCTAGTCCATACCTGCTCATACCAGTCCCGGTTGGTACAGGTGCACTCAGGCCACCAGCTGGGGCCACTGCCGTTGAGTTTGGGGGTGCTCTTGCCTGGGACTGGCTTTGGAGGCACTGGCCCCACATCTCGACCAGTGGGGATGAGCTTGGCCTTGGTGCGAGGGGTGGGGGTGGCTCCTGCTTGTGAAGGCAGGGTCTGAGAGCTATAGCCCCCATAACTGGAGCTGGCTCCATTGCCCCCAGCTGGCCCGTAGGGGTCGGGCACCTGCCAGTCTCCATAGCCAGGAGGCTCAAGACGCCGCAGGGCGGCCAGGCGGGTCACCTCATAGCACTCAGGGCACTTACAGCAGTGCTGGTGCTTGTGCATGGCACTGCCCCCCGCGGCTCGGACCCCCCAGCCCACGCCAGTTTCCACGCCGACGCCGACACCGCCACCGCCGCCAGGCTCTCGGGCACACTCACACTGCTCTGACCAGGAAGGGGGGGGCACCCGTGGGGGCGCCCGGGCGGAGCGGGGCCTGGGTCCGGGCGGGCGTCCTGGGGCTTCTGCCCCCACGCTGCCCCGCACCCATGGCTCCCCCTCCAGCACTGGCGGCTCCGTGTCGCCCGTCGTGGCTCCTGGGCCGAGGCCCAGTGGCAAAGAAGAAGTGGGAGCCCAGGCAGTGGCTGGATGCAGCGAGGACCGCTTCTGCTCTGGTCCTCAGGATGAATCTGAGTGGAGTCAAGAGCATCTCTCCCCGGCTCCCTTCTCAGTTGATTCCAGCCAATCAGCGTAAAGAATCAGGCAGCGGCAGCGGCAGCGGCAGGAATGCTAAACAGCCGCTCCTTAAAGGAACAGTGACAGAGGCGACCCCAGGCTCAGACCCAGCTCCCCAGATCTCTGGGGTAACGCCGATCATGAAGTTGGAGTGAATGATATGGGTCACCAGAGAGTTCAAATGCACGGTCTCATGCCCTTATACCCCCAATTTCAGCCCCTCTTCCATCCACTCCACCCCGCCCCACTTCCAAGAGGGAGTTGCAGGGAGATGCTCAATGGGTCCCCGGGCTTGCTCTGAGCTGGAGCTACCAGAAGTAAAGACTTGAGGCAGCAGAGCGGGCCAAATGGACGTTGAAGCAGAGAGAGAGAGAGAGAGAGAGAGAGAGAGAGAGAGAGAGAGAGAGAGAGAGAGCCAGCCAGCCAGCCAGACAGACAGACAGACAGACAGACAGAGATAGAGAGACAAAGACAGACAGAGACAGTGACAGAGAGAGACACAGAGAGACACAGAGAGAGAGGGAGGAGGGAGAGGGACAGGGAGGGAGAAACATTCTCTACTCTAAGGAAAAGGACAACATATAAAGTCTGCTTCTTTCAGTGCATCCCCACCAGAACCATTGTTCTCTTCTCCTCTAGGCCCTGAAATGACTGTGACCTCATACTTGACCTTCTTAAATCCATCACCAATGTGGGACTCAAACCCAAAATAGGTAGTAGTAGAAAACGACTTTTCCAAGGCTCACACACATCTGTCTCTATGGTGGTTATGTTGAGGGAAGGAGCTGCAGGATGCTAAGGGAAGATTCTAGGACAGAAGGAAAGGTAAGAAGAGAACTAAAGTGAGAGAAGCCATTCTATGGGTCTGGAGAAGCCTCTCCTGGCTTAGCTGTTGGAAAGAGGAGGAAGAAGGTAATAATCCAGGAAAATGATGTCTTTTTCTTGTTTGCTTATTTATTTAGTCTTTCTATAGTCCAGGCTGGCCTGGAAGTCACTATCTTCCTGTTTCAGCCTCCTGAGTTCTGGGATTACAGGAGTACAACACCATGGCTGGCTTTTTGTTGTTCTTGTTTTGTGATTACAAACAAGTAACTGAGTCTTTCAAAGTCTTAAGTGCTTTACATGCAAACAAAAACCTCACCAAAGCAATATTATTATTGTCTTAATTTTGCCAATGAGAAATGGGGTTTGAGAGGTGTTCACATTGCGAGGTAACACAGTTGAAAGGGACAGAAATAGGATACAAATCCTTGCAATGGGGATTCCAGAGTCTATGCTCTGAAGCAATCTAATGCAATTGGTATACTTTTCAAAAAGTTCTCCTCCAGAATTTAGATCTAAGTTCAATCCAACTTTGTTCAAGACTTCGACACGGGTGCTAGGAATACAGAAATTCAATATATATTCATGCCATATAGTGCTCGAGGATTTGGGAATGTTCCAGTACACTGAACAAAATAAAGAAACCAAATCTCTGCCTTACGTACTTTGAATGTTTTGAGGGTGCACAGACAAAAAAAATAAGTACAATGGAAGTGGAGTTGTGGTTCACGTGATAAAGAGCCATTCATGAGCAAAAGAACCATGTAAGAGTGCAAAACCCCGAGTTCAACTCCCAATAACAGCACACAAAAAAGTACAATAAATAGTGGATTATTTAGTCCCTGTGGACAAAACATAAGATGAATTGTCAATGGTAAAGGAAAACCAGGTTGTGATAGTTTTCAAATATTTTCTAACTCCACCTTTTATATGAAAATTTCCAAACATACAGAAAAAATTGGAAGAAATGTATAGTGAATGCCCAATTACCCTAAACCCAGATTCTCAGGAACATTTTACTACATTTGTTTTTTATATCTATCCTCCACATACCCTTTCAACTTTTTAAAAACACAAATTTAACAATGTACAAAATTCAAAGAATAATACAATGATTGTCTATAAAGAAATGTACTCTTTACCTGACTTATGTAACTTTAACTCCTCTGTATATCGTCTTTATACTAATAAAAATTTTAAGAATAGTACAATGAACAAGACCTCCATATAAAATCAACAAGTGGCAATAGTTTCTTATATTTGCTCTGTTTGCTCATCTATCTACCTATATATTTTTCTGGTCCATTTGAATAGAATTTTCATTATAGTTCAATGTATATATTAGTAGTAAGGATATTATCCCAGACATTTATACTGTTAAACACTTACAAAAGTTACCAATAATCCTATTATCACCAAACGTCATCTAATATTTAGTCATCTAATATTTAGTTTATAATTTGTTTGTCAAATTTGACTTTTATGTTTTTTTGAAAAAAATATTACAATTGTATCAGTCAAGATTCTCACATTGGATTTGTGGCTTTAGCCACTTTTAATCTAGAACAGCTGTAAGCTACAAAACATAGTTTGTTTTTCTAGGCAGGTGCTCTACCATTTGAGCAATGACCACAACCTTCAAAAATATTTTAAACTTCATCACTTCAAAAAAAGAATATTTAGGGCCAGAAGTGCAGCTCAGCAATATAGTTGCTACTGAGCAAGCATGCGGCCCTGAATTCACACCCAAAAAAATACCCCCAAAACTCAATGACAAAAATATCTTAAAATATTTGTAGATTTATATGCAATAGTACAGGAAGGGCTTGTGTATCCTTTACCCAGTTTCCCTCAATGATTACATCTTATATAATTACAATGCAATGTCAAAATTTGGAAATCTGGGCTGGGAAGATGGCTCAGTGGTAGAGTGCTTGCCTTGCATGCATGAGGCCCTGGGTTTGATTCCTCAGCACCACATAAGCAGAAAAAGCCAGAAGTGGTACTGTGGCTCAAGTGGTAGGGATACTATCTCTGAGCTGAAGAGCTGAGGAACAGTGTCCAGGCCCAGAGTTCAGGCCCCCTGACTGACCAAAAACAAAAAAACTTGGAAATCCACATTGATAACATATATATATATATATATATATATATATACACACACACACACCTTATATATATACACACACCATATATATATACATATATATGTATATATACATATATATATATGGTGTGTGTGTGATGCACATGCTAGTATTGGGCCTTTAACATAGGGCTTTGCTTGGCATTTTTACTTTGGGTCGGTGCTTGAGCATGCCTCTACTTCTGGCTTTTTGCTAGTTATTTTGAGATGAATCCTGTGCATTAGCTTTGATACTCTATTCTCACATCTCAGCTTTCTGAGTAGGCATAATTAGAGGCATGAGTAACTGGTGCCAGGCCAGTACATATATATATGTATATATATATATATTATATATATAATACTTTTTATTGTGAAAATACTATACAGAGGGGTTACAGTTACATGAGTAAGATAATGAGTATATTTTTTATCTAGCATTGTTTTTCTCCTCCTCTGTTTTCCCCCTACCATCCTTTCCTTCCCCACCTCCCCAAATAGTCCCGTGTCTCCCCCACCCCGAAGTTGTAAACTTAATTTTCAACATAGTGTCTTGTACATCTCATTGTTACAATGGGTCAAACTGTATCCCTATTTAAGCATTTTGTTTTTTTCTTTCCCTTCCCCAAATTAGAAAAATGTATATACAGGATGCAGGGCACCGGGATCAAATACAGTAAAAACAGGGGTTATACATGGGGGAGGAACATACCAAAGAAATAAAAAAAAAAAATCACATAGTACATTTTAAATACATTCAAACAATAGCAAGAAAGGAAAAAAAAAACATTTGTGCCTCATAGAATATTTTAATACCATTTAACAAGTGTAGTGTTCTATAACAATACCACAATCAAAATTCAGAACCGTTATGTCACTATAAAGACTCATTGATGTCACAATTTTCTCAGGTTGAAGAAAGAGTAGAAATCTCACCTCCCATTTGGCCCCTTTCATTCTCTTCCCATTTGTAGTATGGTTATGTTAACTATTTCCTCTGAGTACAATAAAATCCTTGTCAGACAATATTATAATAGTTGCTTCAAGTATCAAACATAATTTAGACAACTGAAGAGGAGATAGAAAGTCTATTGTATTTACTCATATTTTCATTCATTCTGTTCTGTCTTTCTTCCTGACATTCCAAGATTTCTTCTTCTATCATTTCCTTTGTTTTGAGAATTTCCTTTAGCATTCTTTAAGAGTGGATCTGCTGACATGCATTCTCTTAGCTATCCTTTTTCTGAAAATGTCTTAGTTTCCTCCAAATTTCTGAAGAATATTCTATGTGAGGGTTATTACTAGGTTTATGTCTTTTGCCGGTTTAGGGAGATAATTATCCATTTTTTGCATTGCTGGGAAATAAACTCAGGACAGAGAGAGGGGAGAAAGAGACAGAGAGAGAGGAGAAAGAGAGAGAGAAAGAGAGAGAGGGAGAAAGGAGAGAGAGAGAGAGAGAGAGAGAGAGAGAGAGAGAGAGAGAGAGAGAGAGAGTGTCTCCCAGGGCATTATGTATGCTAAACTTGCTCTATGACTGAGCTACATTTCCAATCTTAAACCATTATTTAGTTAAAACTTTCTTCAGTACCATCCTCTTCTTCTGGATCTGCAATAAGTACATTTTAAGTTTCTTCTGTTATCATCCCATATGACTTTGAAACTAAGTTCATATTTTTAAGTCTATGTGTT